TGAGATGCGGACAACGCCATAAGGCCTCAGAAGCTGAGTGTGTCGTAAAAGCTCGATAACGACGACGGTAGCGGCTGGCGTAATGATAACACCTCCGTCGTGTTGTCTTTTGGCCTTTATAAGAAGCGATGCGAAGAGGGGTGTTTGTTAGATGGGGAGGGGGGGGGGGGGGGGAACGTCGGGAGAGCAGATTCACGTTACCAACGCGCCGCGTTTTTCCTTTTTCAAGCCTCTGGTAAGCGGCATGAGTGCCTCTATCCCAAACCTGATGGGGAACTTATGCGCTGTATGCCCATCCCGTGCTTACCGTGCACTCGCTGCATTTAGAGGCCTACAACTCTTTGCAAACTTATTCTGGTCATTACCGCCTATTTATGTGATTCCCTTCTGTGGGAATTTCTATCAAATAAGACAATGACCTCATATTCATCTCGACCACGAACGGCCGATTGATGCTCGTTTTATACCAGACTGTGGGACTGCTTTATTGTATACCAGTCAGTGTGCCTTGTTTGTTCGATGCTGACCAGTAGGCTTGGTTTCCTCGCTCGAGTCGTCTCCGAGGGTGATGGGGGCTTTACGGCGCACTCATGTGCTGAGGCTATATGGCGTCACCTGCCTCTCACATGGACAGAATGGGCGGGCGCGCGTCGAACAGTTCCTGGAAGAACTGGGAGCCTTAGAGGCACTTGAAACAGAGGCGTTTGAAATGTGTAAGGCCATGTTCAGCAGCACCGATGCAATACATGACGTTTGCAACAATGTCTTTTGCTGCGGCAGCGGAGCAGATCGTGCCATGTTGTTGTTGCGGCTCGCACATTTGTGACGTTTGCGGTGGTGATCCGTATGTATCTTTTCGTCGATGATAACGCCTTGACCATGCCGATCTTAATGCCGGTTCACACCGGCCCCGTAATGGTCACGGACCACCACAACGCATTATTCTCTAGACGAATATATATGCGCAAAGCCTCCAGCCGAAGTTGAAATCTGGTAACTTCCGGATGATCTGGCCTCCCCCGTAACAAATCCGCAAGATTACGGATCGAGTTGAAAATTCCCAACTATTGATGGAGTACGGATGGGATTGTCGTGGTGTTGGAGGTGCGAAGGAAATGAAATATGTACTTTGTGGTGCGAGCTATTGACGAGGAAGACTGGCTTCTCCTGATGTATTTGGACGCGAAGAATGAGAACCACAGGAGAACGTGTGCGCGAGAGCCATTGTTACGACGCGGGATGCAGGGGGAGTTCATCATATCACAACGATCGCACATTTTATTTGGAATGTAGGCACGAACCGCATGTTAGCATAGGAAATATGTATAATCTTTTCATAGAGCAATGCATATTATGGCTGAAAACAACCACTGTAATCTTGGTAGAAAGGGCAATGCTTAAGCTCGTTCACATCTGTATGCTTGAACCTGAAATATAGCCGCGACGCATCTGCGGCGTGCGGTGCGCGGTCCGACATGAATTTCGCGGCTTACACTCGGTCAGCACTGTTTCGGAAACGCGGAGGGGGCTACTTCCACTTTTGCGCGTGCGCAGTTTTTGGGCTCCTCCCACCAGTGCGGACGGGCTTCTTTCCAGAGGCGCTGGGGAGTCGTTACGGAGCCGTTGTGAACGGGGCTCTGGTTGTCACACATAGTCCCGGTGTGCGCCCCTCGAAGCATATGAGGCGTTGGTGTCGATCGGCCCTGTGGCTGGCTGTCTTTCTCTGTCACCATGAGGCTGACCATGACTAGGTCAGCCATCGGTCCCCGCGTCCGTTGGTGGAGTGATTGTATGCCGACCTCTCCTGTCATGGACCACCGATGCTGATCGCTCTCCATCCTCCGGCCTGCGTGATGTTGAATTGCTGGGATTTGTCATGCTTCCTGGGCTTCCTCCTACATGCAGGGATAGCTGCATCTGGTCGTGTTTCGGATATCTCGGCGTCACCCTTTTCAACGTGGTTACACAGCTGCTCCTTTTTCCAAGACAAAAATTATGTTCTATGTCAATGCTCTATAGCCGTTAATTTTCGGCTGTATGCCGTCGGGAACGACAGTCAAAGTACTCCTCCCAACCGTTAAAGTGCGCCTTAGTGAGTGTTGTGTTTATTTCATCTGTGATAACCATGATCAGGCATTCATATCAGGCATTCACTAGTATCATTTCCGGGGGTCCTAAATATGACCAGGCAGGTGCGACGCTGAAGGTCTGAAATAACCAATCACTAGTGTCGTTCTCCTTTTTTCGTGATACGGCATCTATACCGCCTCTCCCCACTTTCCAACTGTATGCTCACGGCGGCTACCCCACATTGGCCTGCTGTGCGTATCACTGTCTGCAGGAAAACGCTTTAACATGGCTTAAAACTACTTACACCTGATAAGTATGCGTTGGCAACTTGATTATACAAGTGATATGTTATACATACATGTTGTCAGTGTGGAAAAATCCCAGAGCATTTCATGACATTTTACATTTTGAATGAAAACGGTAGCCCTACTACGTCTTTCCTGGAACATGTTCGAAACAACTAATTCGAACAATGAACAATGAACATGTTTATTGTTGTTCAAAAAGCGTGTTCCAAACAATGAACGTCAAAGACCAACTTGTTTGAGTCGTCGAAACATCTATTGTCGGTAGCCGCGTCTTCACCAGCTGGTGATCAGGGAGCTTGCACGTTCGTCTTCTAATGTCCTGTAGCCGTCCTTGCCCCCGGCGGCGCGGCCGACTGCTCCTGCACTGTACAACCGACCGTCTCCGGCGCAGCACAACCAGCCGTTCTGCTGCTGTCCAGCACTCAACGACCGCCGCTTGTTCCGCCAGATGTTCATTTGCCGCGTGGTTCATGCTAATTTACTCCGATCTTCTAAATTGGGGCGAGCGAATTTAATGAGACCGCCTTATTACCACTCGCAGTGGTGCCGACCCTAGAGGCGACCAGAACCAGAAAGGCGGCCTGCGTGGAATTGCACCTGACTGCGCAGAAAAGACGGCCTGCTCTGCATGTAGGAGAGGGCGCCGCGCCCTGTCAACTCTCGGCCGCATGTAGAGGAGGACACCGCGCCCTGTCAACTCTCGGTCGCATGTAGAGGAGGGCAACGCGCCGTGGCAACTCTCGGCTGCATGTAGAGGGTGCCGCGCAGTCGCAACTCTCGACCGCATGTAGAGGAGGGCACCGCGCCGTGACAACTCCCGGTTGCATGTAGAGGGTGTCGCGCAGTGTCAACTCTCGGTCGCATGTAGAGGAGGGCACCGCGCCGTGTCAATCCTCGGCCGCATGTAGAGGAGGGCGCCGCGTCGTGTCAACTCTCGACCGCATGTAAAGGAGGGCGCCGCGTCGTGTCAACTCTCGACCGCATGTAGAGGAGGGCGCCGCGTCGTGTCAACTCTCGACCGCATGTAGAGAAGGGCACCGCGCTGTGCCAACCCTCGGTCGCATGTAGAGGAGGGCGCCGCGCCGTGTCAACTCTCGATCGCATGTAGAGGAGGGCACCGCGCCGTGGCAACTCTCGGTCGCATGTAGAGGAGGGCGCCTTTGTCACGTCTCGGACGCACGTGGAAGAGGACGCCGCGCCCGACCAGTCGGGCACGCAGATTTCAGGCGACGCTCCATTCCCGTCCAGAAAAATCCCTCAATGAATAGATAAGTCCGTTAAAATGTGAAGGGCGCTCTGTTGGGAGCGGAGCTGGCAGCGCGTCCGCCGCTGTTTTTATCGGCGTCGGGGTGCCGTGGCCGAGTGGCGCCGCCGGCGCCGCCCCAGCTCGTTCAAAGCCCGCTCGCCGTCGTCGGGTCTCCTCAGCGCCGTGCGTGGCCTCATCCGCGCACGTTGATAAGCGAGTCGGAACGTTCACGTAAAATGGTGTGTCGGGGTCGCGCAGCGTAGTATGTTAATTAGGAGCTCGAAACCGGAAACCTTCCACCTATCTGGGGCCGGCGACTTTGCACGGGCGTCGGAAAGTCGGAGAGCGGCGCTTTGTTGCGGCGCCGTCAGCCGGTGGAGCGGCCGGCAACGGGAACAGGCCCGTCTGCGGCGGCCGTCAGGGGGACCCAGCCCGTCTGCGGTGGCCGTCAGGGGGACCCGGCCCGTCTGCGGGGTCGTTAGTGGAACCCGGCCCGTCTGCGGCGGCCGGCAGCGGGATCCGGCCCATCTACAGCGGCCGGCAGCGGGACCCGGCCCATCTGCGGCGGCCGAGGCCAGATCGTCTGAGCTGCAGCTGATGGCTGCGGTACGATAGCTAGGCAGGGCTGCCGTAGCTCCAGCCGACGCGGGCAGTTGGGAAGGGAGGGGAGACGGCCCGCGCTGGAGCCGGCGGAACGGTTTTCAGTTTGTTTGTCCATCCCGGTTTGTGGTTTGTCGTCCCTCTTTGTGGACGTGACTGTGGCGCGGCCGTCAGTGACGTCACTGTTCCTCGATCCTAGGTCGGACGGCGAGTGGCCCCGCTGGTTCAGCAGCCGCTCGACCGTGGTGCAGTCCTTGTAGTGGTTGGATTGAAGCAGTTGGGAACTCCATGTTAGATAGATTCGTTGGGTCTTCTAAGCATGAACTATCGCACAGCATATTGTACATAAAATCGTATAAATACCGTATCTAAAACAGCGTATGAAATACCGTATGTGCACTATTTCTGTCAAACACTGTTGACCATAACCCGGCTCTTGTTGTAGCACATCTGTTGGTGAAAGGAGGCCGTTCTAGCGCTTTTCCGTGTCGTTATTTGCCGAACCGTTGTTTTTTCCTGGAATGTGCCTCTTCGCCTTCATTTTTGTTGACTTCGAGACTTACCCGCATAATTCGTTTTTCTTGTTATGCACAACCCTGTAAATAATGCCTGGTAAATTTATTTGAAACCACCTGCTGCGCTCCGCCTGGTAGGAAGGCTCTGCACATAGACTTTTGGATATAAACTACGAGCCAGACTGCTGACCAACCCTCGCCCCGGCTGGTAGACAATACCCTGACCCGGTCATTGGTGACACCATTGATCCTCTTTTCCAGACGGGCAAGCTGCATTTCGGCTACATCTACGGCATCGGCATGATGGGCTGCGTTGCCATGTACTTCCTGCTCAACCTCATGTCGATGCAGGGCGTCAGCATGGGCGTCGTCGTCTCCGTGCTGGGTTACTGCCTGCTGCCTATGGTGGTGCTCTCCGGAGTCTCCATCGTCCTTTCGCTTCAGTGAGTGGGGATTCTCACCGGGTGTGGAGGATTGCCTCAGGCGAGGGCGGAGACGTGCAGAAGGATAAGCCCTCTGGCAGATCACCGCAAATTTGTGTATCGCTAGTTCGCATTCAAGCCTATTGATGACACGCTGGAACATGTGAAACAGGCTTAGTTTCGCGAAGTGAATTGCGGGGCGTATTTGGGAGAAATGGTTAAATACCACCACAATGCCGAAAGAGCGTGCTGTTTGCTGAATCTGGCTCACTTTCTTCTCCAATGTTCGGGATGGGCAATCGACAATTAAAGCCCTGATGTGCAATAGCAATGAAATATCGAAATGAAATTATTGACAGTGTTCACTCAAAGTACGCAAACTACAGAAGTAGCCATCTGCCATACAGATCTGGTCATCTCACTTGTCAGATGAGCGGCGCACGCGGCCCCAGTCCCGACTTTTGTAGATGCGATGTTCGCCATCGGATTAATCGTCGCCTTTGCTGGGAGGGTCTGCCGGTTGGCAAGAGGCCTTTCATAACGGGCGCCGACACCTCGTGTGGTTAGCCCATTACCGGCGAACGGTGGCACCGGGTGCCGTCCCCCCCCCCCCCCCCCCCTATCTGTCGCCTATGCCAGTCCCGGTGACCGCACGGCACCGCATCGCTGATCCTGATGACGCCACCGGTGCCGACGTAACGTCACTGCCAGCGGCGGAGCAGCCGCCGGCGCCGGCCGCTAACAGGACGCATAATCAGCCGGCCGCCGACTTCGGTGCCGCCCGCCATCCTGGGACGCGACTAATGAGTGCCGCTCTCGGCCCGCCCGTTCGTCTTCGTTAGCGCCGAATCAAAGCGCTGTTTTTCGCCGCCGCCGTTGCCTTCGCCGCGTCCTAAATGACGATCTTATACGCGAGAATTGGATCAAGGCAGTCATAACCGCGATGCATCCGGACAGCAGCGGTGCATGGGCTGCCGCAGCACTCGCCTATGCTCCATTAGTAGGGCATCTGTTGCGAGGGCACTGGGAGGAGCACTGTCGCGAGTGGATGGCGGGACGCTGTTGGCTGTCGGGCCGGCCGCGGCGGCAGTGGCAGCTGCTCCCAGTGGCCGCCGTCCTGCTCCGAGCCGCAGGGCTGGCGGCGCGCCGCCGTCCCGGGATTCAGCGGGCTGACGACCTGCAATCAGCAGGTGGCTCGTGCGCCGGCTGCCGGCCGTCTTCCGCGAACGTGGCCGGCGGCGCGCGGCCGGATGTGCCGCAGGTCGCGGCGTGCTGACCTTCAGCGGCGGCCCGCGCTGCCATATGAGCCGGCCGGCGGCCCGGCGGCCAGCATCGGATTCGTTCACCGAACCGGCTGGACGGAACGGCCTCTGCGGCGGACTGGTGGACTGTCTGGACTGTCTGTCTGTCGTGTCTGACTGTCTGTCTGTCTGGACGGACTGTCTGGCTGAGATTCCCCGGGACATGGCGAGATGGACTTGGGGAACACCGGTGGAGGGCGGCTCTGATGCAAACATGCCGACGGACATGGAGATTCGTGTCTGAAACTGTCATGATGTCCTTGCAGTCGGTTATCATTGAAAACAGCTAAAACGTAAACATTTATAATATAATGGTGTTGGTATCTTTGTGCATCATTATTGTTGGGTTGCCCGTAGTCATGGTGTCAACATCTGAGGAGGGTGAAAGACAAGCGGCGCGAGGGGATCAGTGCGCTGCCTGCTGCGGTGGCGTGACAATGTCAGCCGTCCGCTGTGGTGGCGTGACAATGTCAGCCGTCCACTGCGGTGGCGTGACGATATCAGCTGTCCGCTGCGGACAGCTGCCAATGCCAGCCGGCCGCTGTCAGTCATCAGACCAGCTGTCTGCCCTGGCAATGGCCATGGCGGTCAGGCGAGTGCCGATTCCAGCGTGCCCAGAGGGATGGCGGATCACCCTGTCCTCCGTCGTGGCAGTCGTGCCAATGCCAGCCAGCCGCTGTCAGTCATCAGACCAGCTGTCTGCCCTGGCACCGGCCATGGCGGTCAGGCGAGTGCCGATTCCAGCGGGCCCAGAGGGATGGCGAATCATCCTGTCCTCCGTCGAGACAGTCCACTGACCTATCCATTAGTCAGAGCCGCTGCTAATCGCATGACCGTGGCAGCTCGCCGGCCGTTGTGAGTGATGTGCTCCTCCGACTCACGCGACGTTGTGTGACCTCTCCAAGCCTTGGGTAAGGTCATGCTCCTCTGACCCGGTCGGTTATTGCGGTGCGACGGCAACCTTGCGGAAGTGCAGAACCGACTTCCGGCCAGCAACGGCTGCACGTTCTGCTACGTCCGCTACGTTTGTCGCTACGGCTGCCCGTCCTGCTACGGTGCAGCGTGTTGCCGGGTCTAGTTCCGGGTCGCTGTTTAATGACGGCAGACTGAGATATTTGTCTACTAGGAGCTCAGTTTACAGCGTGTTTGGCTTTGGTGTTGGGTCGACCTTTTGTGTTAGTGCCAGATTCGTAAGGTGGCTTCGCTATATTACATTAGTAGCCTCCGGAGACACTTGGTCGTTTTTGTCTCTGGTCATCGCGCTGCATATCGGTTGCTAGAAACGCAAAAATGGCGAAGAAAATGGCTCCATACGGTTCTTAAAGCGGCATCGGGCAGAGACGGCTATGATTCGTGAACGTCACACAATAATTAGCGACCGGCCTGCCCCGACGTGGTTCGGCGTTTAAAGAGGGCATATCTACTTTTGTGCTTTTCGCCCATTGCTAAATTAGACGCGTCTGATTTGATCGCCAATGCCAGTCTTTTTCGAAATCTCTCAAAAAAGCGCAGAATTTCTTTTTGAAGAGCCTCTCCTGAGGCAGAAATTTAATGGGGCTCCGTGCTTATTTCTATGAAAGTAATTCTTTTTGTTTACTTTGTTTTTTCAACGCGTGTGCTCTATATTGTTTGTAATGGAATAATTCCTTAAAGTTATTGTGCAATAAGTTCTAGGAGGCATGGAGCACTCTTTAAAGGGAAGCAGATATACAAAGATGATGCTATCATAGCCCGAGTTAAACGGAACGCTACGCTATGGTGTTGATGTCCCCCTCTGGTGTCAAGCACAGTGACACCAGTGTGCAATGACACCACAAATATGCTCTTCAGTGCGTCATCGCGCGATGGCATCCTGGAACGTCTGTATAACGTTGAGATGCTGTCAAACTGGCCGTGCGAAGTTGCTACCCTAGCACTCACCTGTAGTACTTCAGTGTCCCTAGAGGGGGCCGTGGTAGTGCTAGAGGTCATTCCTCAGCCACATATTGTTATGTCCTCGTGTTGTGGCCCTTTGTCGTGCTATTCTGGCATATTGATTCGTGAGTTAAGGTGTTTACTTGCATTCACATGCTCGGTTATGGCGCTATTCTTGGGTTATTGGATTGTAAATCTCATTTCCGTCATAAACAATGATAATGCCCAGCTTCTTGTATTATGCAGCATAAGACGTGATTCGTAGTAGTTTCAAATTTGTACCGCCTGCACAACATTGGTCGAGAGCGAACTGCCATCCGTCATTCTGAAAATTGTGTTCACGATCGCCAGATATGAATGACTCGTCGATTGTAATATTGAATCGATTGTCGATTGCCCGTGAACGCCGTATGGCCAGTGCGGTGACAGAATAAGAATGTCGTTTCTATGACGTCATACATGCCTGAACGACCTTGCAGTAGTTTGCACGAAAACGGCTGCAATCTTCTCGGGCGTTTAGCTCAGAAACTAGATGGTACTAGGTTTGAATCAATTCAGCGCTGTAAACTGCACCGAATGATCTTCACGATGATCATTTCACTTCAAACCCCCTTATAAATGTGAACTCCCCTTTTAACACAACGGAAAGGATGTTCTTGTGTTTTTGGTCTTAAGTTACAGAACCGGAGATTTGGTCGTGAGGAAAAAATTGAGGAAAAGGGGAAACCGCGAAGATCGATCGCTTTCCAACACACGGGTATTGGGGATCGCTGGACTATCTGCTGGCTCTGGCGGCCCCAAGGCTGGTTGCGGCTAGCTGAGTTTGGGGTCGGTGGCTATCCCACCTCTGGCACCTTTGGCAGCCGGCCAGTTGGCCGTCGATTTTGTGACCAGCTAATCGATGATGACGTTGTATGGCTCCAGAACAGTTTTTACTTTTGAGCGTGGAACGGAAAATGTAAAAGTTTAAAAATTGATGCCCCGAATTCTGGGTAAATTTTCCAAAGGTATGACAGATCTTCATAATTTTTCCGAGGCCTTACCCAACACTGCATTAACGATATCCAGGGAGTCGCTTAGGTAACCTCTTGTAACCCTGTAACATCGGTAAGTCGTGCTAAAATAAACAGCAAGAGTCGTAACAATCATGTTCTTTCACTCTCTGGTGAATAATGAATTGTTTCAGGCCCAGTTTTGTATTTTCTCCTTACACGTAGCAATCTTTAGATGGCGTTAAATTCCATGTTTGTGTTTACCTCACACGTAATCTTTAACAAGTTGTTAAAAACAGCTGAAAAACAGCACGTGTGTAATACTTTTATCGCCTGGTAGGAATCTGTGATCAAAGCAGAATGGTTCACAGAGTAGATTTATGCATCTTAGGTACACGATCCAAAGCGTCCAGAGCACGGTCCAGAGCATGTCAGATCCACGGTCCAAAGCATCTCAGATCCACAGTCTGAAGCATCTCAGATCCGTCCTCCAATGCCTTGAAAGTGCATTTGAACAGCTCCTCAACCTTGTCACGTCCGTTTAGCCCCCCCCCCCCCCCCCCTCAGTGGCTGGTTGATCGACCGACGGCCGGCCTGAAACGAACCTAAACGCCTTTTATTTCTGAGCTTTAGAAATTTCAACTCACCCCAAAGCTGACATCATCGTTGTGTTTACCTTTGAAAACTTGCTCGGGTCGGCCTTTTTTACGAAATTGTGTGGACAGCCCGTGTTATTTGATACGTGTTACGTTAGACTGCATAAAACGGAATAACGGTACGATACGCACGGCGCGATTTCTTGAGTTCACCAGAGATGAAACGCATTGCAGTAGCGAGGGCGCCACCTTGGAACAGCAACTAACAAAATTAACCAAAGGCGTTCTGTTGTAGATGTGATGTCATATAGCGGATAAAGAGGCAATTTTGGCGCCTGATTGAGCCCGAGGCGACGTGTCCTGGGCTTATCACGCTCGGCCACTCGTGCCTGCGGGCACTTTGGTTTGGTTTGGTTGCGTTTAGAGCCATTTCGTCCAGCAAAAATCATTCCAGGGGTGTGGGACGAGAGAGGGAGATGAGGGATGGGTAAGACTGCAGGCGTCTAACAGTCCTCCGGTTAGAGGTGCGACGTCCTAGGTCCTCCTCTAAGGCACCCGCACAAGGATGTTTATTTGGGCCCCATCCCAGCTCCCGCCCCTCATGCGGGAGCTGGGGCTGAGGTCCCATCAGGGCAAGCTTAGCTCGTGGCTGATGGCCCCAGGCTACTCAGAGATGTTTGTGCGTTGCCGAGCAGGCGAGTATTTTTGTACAACAGTGTTCCGTCTTTTGGGGATCCACGACACACGCAGGTTTCTCAGACGCGCATTTTGATCACTGTATTACCGGTAACCTAGACCACTTTTCTCAGCTGTTACTGTTTCTACTGTTGCTACTTCTGTAATTTGATCAGCTGCGTCGGTCAGTCCGCTGACGTCCTTTGTTTAGCTGTCTGAGCCGACAGTGTTGGTCAGGCCGCTGATGTCCTTTGTCCAACTGTCTGAGCCGCCAGCGTCGGTCAGTTCGCAGACGTCCTTTGTCTAAGTGCCTGAGCACGCCAGTGTCGGTCAGTCTGCTGACGTCCTTTGTCTAGCTGTCTGAGCACGCCAGTGTCGGTCAGTCCGCTGACGTCCTCTGTCTAACTGTCTGAGCACGCCAGTGTCGGTCAGTCTGCTGACGTCCTTTGTCTAGCTGTCTGAGCACGCCAGTGTCGGTCAGTCCGCTGACGTCCTTTGTCTAACTGTCTGAGCACGCCAGTGTCGGTCAGTCTGCTGACGTCCTTTGTCTAACTGTCTGAGCCGACAGTGTTGGTCAGTCCGCTGACGTCCTCTGTCTAACTGTCTGAGCCGCCAGCGTCGGTCAGTCCGCTGGCGTCCTTTGCCTAACTGTCTGAGCACGCCAGTGTCGGTCAGTCTGCTGACGTCCTTTGTCCAACTGTCTGAGCACGCCAGTGTCGGTCAGTCTGCTGACGTCCTTTGTCTAACTGTCTGAGCCGACAGTGTTGGTCAGTTCGCTGACGTCCTTTGTCTAGCTGTCTGAGCACGCCAGTGTCGGTCAGTCCGCTGACGTCCTTTGTCTAACTGTCTGAGCCGACAGTGTTGGTCAGTCCGCTGACGTCCTTTGTCTAACTGTCTGAGCCGACAGTGTCGGTCAGTCCGCTGGCGTCCTTTGTCTAACTGTCTGAGCCGCCAGTGTCGGTCAGTCCGCTGACGTCCTTTGTCTAACTGTCTGAGCCGCCAGTGTCGGTCAGTCCGCTGGCGTCCTCTGTCTAACTGTCTGAGCCGACAGTGTCGGTCAGTCCGCTGGCGTCCTTTGTCTAACTGTCTGAGCCGCCAGTGTCGGTCAGTCCGCTGACGTCCTTTGTCTAGCTGTCTGAGCGCGCCAGTGTCGATAAGTCTGCTGCCGTCCTTTGTGTAATTGTCTGAGCCTCCAGTGTCGGTCAGTCCGCTGGCGTCCTTTGCCAAACTGTCGGAGCACGCCAGTGTCGATCAGTCTGCTGACGTCCTTTGTGTAATTGTCTGAGCCGCCAGTGTCGGTCAGTCCGCTGGCGTCCTTTACCTAACTGTCTGAGCACGCCAGTGTCGGTCAGTCTGCTGACGTCCTTTGTGTAATTGTCTGAGCCGCCAGTGTCGGTCAGTCCGCTGGCGTCCTTTACCTAACTGTCTGAGCGCGCCAGTGTCGATCAGTCTGCTGACGTCCTTTGTGTAATTGTCTGAGCCGCCAGTGTCGATCAGTCCGGCGACGTCGTTTGTGTACCTCTGAGCACGCCGGTGTCCAGGCGCATCATTAGCTACGTCTGCCTCCCTTCGGCAGGCATTCAGGCACCACTTCCTACAGAACACGGACGCTCTTTTAGCGGCGTAGCGTGTGTTTCATTGCAGCTCCTTTCGTTACCGCCTGCCGCGTTCCACAGTAACGCATTATCTTCATGAGAGCGATGAGTCCGTCGCTACATGCACGCCCTGTGACAGCCTGGTTACATGGGCGCGTCGTGTGCCGCCCAGACCGCACCGCCGACCTCTGCGGCACGGCGGCCATCACACCGCCGCACCTGCGTTGCAGGGGCACGCTGGGGATGCTGCTGGCCGGACTGACGATCCTCTGGTGCAGCCTCTCCGCCTCGAAGCTGTTCGTGACGGCGCTGGTCATGGACCACCAGCAGCCGCTGGTCGGCTACCCGTGCGCCCTGCTGTACGGCGTATTCGCGCTGCTCACCATCTTCTGAAGCGGCGGGCGCCACCCGCCCGCTGCCGGGGTCGGTGGGTTGCGGCGCTGCGCACCATGCCGTTGCGGCGCGGCCGTCTGGCTCGTCAGCTGCTGATGGTGGACGTCTTTCGCGTCATTCATGCACGACGCCCACCGGCCTGAGCACGCGCTGTGCCGCCAGCGTGGATGCTGACGCTGATACGGACCCATCTGTGCGGTAGTACATTGGACGGGATGTTGTACAGCGTATGCATGAAATGCGCATGCATGCTCCTGTAAGGACAGCACTCGGTGAACTCGGTGTCGGTGAATTGCAGAGCTTTGTGAATGGCAGACACAAAACTGACTTTGAGCCTAATAAAGAGTGTTGAGAACCGTGTCATGTGTTTCTGTGAAGGGGGTGGGAGAACGTCGGAGAGGTACGTCCGCACTGCAGGTGGAACACGTGACCCGAGACCTGATGTGGCCTGTGTTGATGTCATGTAGTGTTACGGCAGGCTCGTTACAATGCGCAGCGAAATTGCTGTTCATCGCTATTTTGTTACGAATGCAATTGTGTGTGTGCAACTGCATCGTTCACTCATCGTAACCCTCTCCCGACGTAGCCCTCTCCCGAGAGCCTTACAGCCTCGCCCTCTGAGGTTTTTATCGAATAACTTGGTATCCATTGAAGACATTGTGCTGATTTGTTTTCAGCAGCTGACAATAACATTTTTACACGTCCGGCAATTTTTCAACACTTCTGTCCGAATGCGTCATCAGCTGTGATCTTTCAGTGAAGTCCATGTCAGTCGATTTTTCACACAATGCTGGCAATTTGGACGTGTTGCCTGTTTTATTTATAAATGTAACTCATTTCGACGTCCGTGATATCCGGCCTGTTGTACCGAGTGAGGGGCCAGGTTAACAGAGGTCAGGCTACGTCGAGCATGTCAATGAGACAGCGGAAAGGCCCTATGTCAGCGAGAGGCCCAAGACTGGACGAGGGGCCCTCCGCACTGTTTAAACCAGGGGCCAACAAGTCGCATTGGTGGTTCAATGTCAATAATTGGACTGCTTATACCGGTAAGGGATCCTTTTGCGTCAGTAAGGCCCCCTGCGTGGATCCGGATGATGATGATGCACATGTCAGACGCCGCTGTTAGTGGGCCTGCCGCACCAGGGAGAGAACCAGTGCGGTGTATGATGTATCTCTGATGGCCCCCGCATTGACCAGGGTCCCGCATCGCCAGAATAGCAGCCGCTAGGGACTCCGGGCTGGGGCGGTAATGCCCTTCAGCCCCTGAGCAGGAAATCGCGCCTGTGGATTTTTTAGGTTGATTCTCTGAACGGAAAGAGAAGTTGCGGCAGCACGAGCAGTACACCGAAAATTGACTTACCATTTTTCAGGAAGTAAAAGCACGGTACGCCGATAGGAGGCACATAGACTTTTTAATACCAAACGGGTGATAAACTCTGCATTTACAACGTCGCGAGAGTAAGCTCTTTACATCTCCGCCTGCAAACGGCTTATTATTCTATTACCCTTTAAAGGATTGTCGACCAGACCATTTGCCACCTTCCCGAAGGAAACCAAGGTTATTGACTATCCACGGGGGGGGGGGGGGGTAAAACCCTTTGCATTCACCATCCTTCGAGCCATTCTTTTCATAACCTTCTAGATATAAGTGACGCCTTTGGCTTTACCCTTAAGAGAGGGTTGACCCACTTGCTTCATTTTTCACCAGAGGGGAACAACCGCGACCCCACTTTCCACCAGAAAAAGCTTACATACATTTTCTGGCTACCTACCGGGGTGGTGACAATAGGTTGTGACCTTTCGCAAAATAATAACAGTAGTGGCATAAAAACAGTACAGGTGGCCAACAGTACCACACCAAACATCGAGATCACCTTTTCAAGACATCTGGGCGGGTCCCGCATCCAACACAAACCGACCATAAAAATCGTGCCACCTAATAACGTTTTATCGTTGGACAAAACTGCACAATACTGCCGCATGCTGGAGCAGACCTGGCGTGGCATGCATATGCCACGGGACATCAGTACCCCTGCCACAGCAGGCGACCTTCTCACAGGCCGACTGCGCGGCGGAGACGGCGACGGCGCGCGGGTTAGTTGACCGGGGCTCGGAGCCAGTGACCGCGGCAGTCGGTATTGTGCTGGGCTCTCCATGCTACACCGCAGCGGTGTGTCGGATATCCCCCGGCACGTTTGGCGGCGTCGCCATCCAGCGCCCCACACGGGCCTGTTCGGAGAGCCGCTTCAAAACACCCGTCTTGCCCGTCATAACACCCGTCTTACGCTCAACACGGCTGGCAGCGTGTGTCGCGACTCCGTTACGGCGTACCAATTAAGTGCACACGCACGACCGACCTCGCCAAGCCAGCACCACGATGGCGACGGCTTCATTAGGACGGCCGGCCGTGAACGACGTTGCCAAGGGCGGCCGTCAGCTCATCCGGCATTCGGGGGAATTTTAGCCCAACGATATCCAGTACAAGCTAGACGAGGATAAAAGGCAGATTGTCGTGTTGACGCTGCGTGTCTTCGCGTACACCGACCGCTGCCTCCTTGGACTGGTACACTAGAGAAGTAGTTACGCGCTGAGGAGTTTGGAGGATAAGGCGATCAAACGTCCTCGTACTGCCAAACCGGCCGAGCGGCGTCCTCTTCGTGCAGGCTGAGCAAGCGTACTCGGCATCTGGCGGCATCTGGAAAACAAGGCGACATGAACCGGGGCGCAGCCAGAGTCTTGTTAAGAAGCTGGCACTGCACTGACAGAGGGTCCCTGCTGGTGACGAGCCCCTCCTCCCGCTGGTGACAAGCCCCTCCCCCCGCACCCACCCCCACCATTAAGAGGCTCTTTTCTGCATTACGAGGCTATTTTTCTGGATCAGGAAGCCTATGAATTTGTCATTTGCGGTCTGAATCAGCGGGCCTCGTTTTGTGTTAGAAATGGTACTGACTGTCGAGGTCACCTGGTGAATCAGAAGGCCCCTGTTCCGGATCAGGAGGCCCTTCGAAAATCAGTAGGTCCCTGTTCTGTATCGGAAAGTCCCTTTATGAACCGACCTGATCCAGATTAGGAGGCTCTGGTTGAGAAAAAAGTAGCTCTTCACTGGATTGGGGGCGCTTATTTCACGAGTGCGTTACATTTACCTCCAGTGGGGCATATGGCCGTAACAGGTCATTTTTGATTCGCACGCTCATGCACAGTTTTTTTTTCTCCAGCCACCAAATTTCTTAACAGAGAAAAATAAAGCGCCTTATTCCGTAACCTGGAGCACTTGGACTGACATTCCAGAATAATGACTATCAGACTGACATACACCGTATTTTATCTGAGAAACTGAGCTGAATTCGTCCTGTAGGCAATGAGTAGTCATACTGTGTTTCCATTACCAAGTAATTTAGTTTTGCACAATACGCGGCACAGATTAGAGCCAGCACATAAATGGGTGCATTCCTTTTCAAGGGACGAGGCCGACGTGGAACAGACAGGAGTGCACTTTCGCCGTCAAAAGGGATCCGCTTCCTATAGTACGCCGACGACACGAGTCTGTTGCTTGATAGTTCTGCCAAATTTATAAGAAGAGCTCTAAATGAGTTAGCTAAATTCTCCAAATTGTCTAGTTGAAAGGCGAATCCAGATAAAACATCACGACTGCCCATCGACACACTTATAATAGCTCAGGTATCTACCGTGGGATCTACCTGAACCATAACATCAGTTCCATGATTTATGGAGCGAAATGTTCAGCTAAAGATACCTACGATTCGACGAAAAATAGACCGGTGGGACAGGCGAAATTTACCCCTATTGGAAAAGTATGTATTTCCGAAGCATTGCTACTATCAAAGCTGGTCGATTTGCTCATGACGCTGCCAAATCCGTCTGCTCGACTTATAAAGCAAATCGAATCGATCGTGTTTTGCTTCCTATGGAGCAACAGAGACAACAATATTAAACATACAAAGTTAGTACAAAATTATGAGTGACATGGGTTGAAAATGATTGATAGTAATGCATGCTTCACACCATGAAATTGGCATGGCTCAAACACCAGATGATTTCAAAAGTCGATTGGGCGTATATAGCCAACCAGCATCTACCCAGCGTGACTCTGCTAACGCATGGGCGAGGCTAGCTGTTCGTTGCTAGCAATGAGCTATTAAACACGTGTTCCATGTGTCTGCGGAATACTTAAATAGGGCCGAGGAATACATATCGAGTCCGAGGTAATAGCTCAAAATGAAATACAAAAAAATAGAAAATGCTAACGAAATGTGTGCAAACAATAGACATAGCATTTGTATTACCGCGATTATCAAGTCTGAACGGGCCCACAGCCGATTAGTTAAAACCATCTCCATGGCGCAAAATGAGAACAAACCTGACATCGCGCGGATTGCCCTTCCAGAAAACCACGAAGGCCTGACGATGTTACATGGCGCGGGTTCTCCCTTGCAATGCTGCTAAACGTTGTCTGAACAAAAAGGAATGATGTGCCGTAAGAGCTCGCCCCTAAACGGTGAGGATCTCCTGGATCGTAGACGGAATAGATAAACGATGCCTTCCTGATCACGGAACAAAGTGATCCTATGCAGGAATTCCGCGGTCTCTTCGGGTCCATATACACAGCGTACACATCGCTACAGGCACTTGGGGAAGACGGCGACGCCCGCACACATCGCCACACAGGAGATCCCCATGAACAAATGAATGTGATACTCGTCAAATTTTAGCACGTCAAAGCATGCCAGACGCGGTGATGCCAGACACCCCAGTTGAGGGTCTGTTTGGCGTGATAATGTGTAGGGCAAGTTTCCAAGGATTAAGGTGCCTATTTAAGACCTTCCTGTGATAATCAAAGGTGTCTATTTAAGACCTCCCTGTGGTAATCACCGCAACTTTGCAGGCTCCCGTGCGCTTCAGTGGGCACAGGCTCATTTGTTTAACAACACATTGCACATGCTCGGGACGCGAGCGCACCGACACTGCCTTCATCTCAGCTATGCAAGCGTTCAAACCGGCCCACCGTCGCCACGCTCCTCACTGCGCTGGCGCTCCCGAAAGTAAAATGGAACCAGGAGATGATTCATGTTGCGTAGCCGTCGTGCCCACGCCCACCGGCGATTTGTTGGCTTCAACATACATCTTTTAGCCAGTCGTCGTTTTTGACAGCCCTGAATTTTTTGCGTAAATTTATTATGGTCGCCGCGTAGCTGCGCGTTTGGAGATGAAGCCGTTGTGGAGAGTGCACGGAGTGGTTGAGATACGCAGTGGTAGCGAGGCCAGATCATTGTGGCAAGGCGGGGCCGTTGTGGAGAGACCGTTGGTAGCGAGGCAAGACCATTGTGGAGAGTGCA